TTCAAACTTAAACAACTTAAAAGTCAATAGCTTAAGTTTAAGTTTACGTTGTTTATCAATATATAAAACTATATAATATTTTGTGCTGACGGTAAATCCCTCGTTTAAATATGTCTTCCTTTTGAACGATACGCCGCGCCGTCTACAATAAAGGAATTCTCTTTGTAAATGTCAGAAGAGGAATACACAAAGCGCGACAGATTTAACTTTAAGGAAACCAACATGTTTGCATACTTTTTACAGTTTATACTTTATTATAAACACTTCTTTAAGTATATTTATACATTTACCAGTTGTCACCCGCGACTTCGTCCGCGCGTAATAAAAAAACATCATTAGTATACTGTGTTCTCCCAGACTATGTTCTACATCTATGTCAAATTTCAGCGAGATCCATACAGCCGTTCTAGAGATACCTTTAAACATCCATCTATCCATCCAAACATTCCCATTTATAATATTAGTAAGATATTAAGAGACTATTTTTGTTATTAATTTTGATAAATATTCAAAAATATAATTAAAGCGCATGCAAAAAAAAACTGAAATAATAATATGCTCTCACTTTACTTATTCATGTAACATAATATTTAGCTATTCATTTCGACAAGAAAGCATTTTTTCATCTCGCCGAGACATCTTTTTAAATCTCTAAAAGTATTCTTGGCTCGTAATTAAATTGAGTTTGTTTTCATCTCACGACGTTTTAATAACACTTCTTTGTAAAGTTCTTTTCCCTCGTCGTCTGCTTCAGTTTTAGCCAGTTATGGCTTCATTGTAAAACGACAATTTTCTGTGAAGGTGATAATGCCGTTTTCATTTACAATTTATTTTAAAGCGAAGACATTAAAATGTTTATTTATTTTTATAATATTCCTCCTACTTGTATTATCTTTATATATAAAAGAAAGTCGTGTTAGTTACACTATTTATAACTCAAGAAAGGCTTTACCGATATGGCTGAAAATTGGTGAGGAGGTAGCATAGAGGCAGGAGACGGACATAGGATACTATTTATTCTTTTTTTTTATTTTTTCCAATTTATTCCTTGAAGAGCTGCTTTTTATTTAAATTATGTATATATAAAGTTTTTTTTATATATCCACGCGGACGGAGTCGCGGGCGACACCTAGTTTATAACTAAAGACTAAAGCAAAAATTAACCGTATAAATAAAATTTTCGTGTTACAATGTTATGTATCGTACTACTCCATACCGTCCGTGTGACCGATTTTTATGAAATTTTATATGCATATTCAGTAGGTTTGAGAATCCGTTACTATTTTTTAATTTCGCGCGGACGGAGCCGCGGGCAATAGCTAGTTAGTATGTTTTCATACATTTTTATACGAAGCTTATGCACTATTAATGACTGAGTTATTATTAAATGGTTGAAAAGCGAATATAACATTGAAGATATTCCAAGATATAAAAGAATTGAAAATATAGAAGCAAAATTTTACGCCTCTTTAATAGCCTATTTCATACCAATACAGAAACCGAGCAAACACCAATAAAATAAACATAAAATCTTACACATTTTCCAACAGATTTAATGTTTCGCATCCGAAAGAAGCTAAACTTCCGTCGGAAAGATTGTGAATTTGCAATTCATGGCCTTAATAATTTGGAAATTAAACTTGAATCGCTTACATCATTTATTTTCATAATATTCTTTTTATTTATTAACTAGTCTATCGCCCGCGATTCCGTCCGCGCGGAATTAAAAAAGTAACGTATTCTCTGACCTACTGAATATGTATATAAAATTTCATAAGAATTGGTCAAAACGTTCAGTAGTACGATAAATAACATTGCGACATGAGAATTTATACATAAGATATTTTTTTGCTTAATTAATAGCCTATGTTTTCTTCTAGACTATGTTCTACATCTGTGCTAAATTTCATCAAGATCCATTGAGCTGTTGACGAGATACTTTCAAACAAACATCCATCCATCCATCTATACATTCGCAGTAATATTAGTAAGATAAATATCTTTTAAATAGACATACAAAACTATACTATACTAAATGCAATGCTTTTACTAGAAGGCATAAAAAAATTATAATTTTGTTTTTTCAAAGTTTGAAATGAATATATAAATTATGTTTGTAATCAGTGTGCTCCAGCTTAGTTTCATTTCCTTCTTAAGTTACTGAAAAATTTGCATTTTACGTACTTCAAACTAGATTCGAGCCCAACCTTGTTTTTCATCGTCTTTTACCCGAAGTAGCGATCAAAATCAAACTTGCCCAAATTTGCAATGGAAATATCTTTTTATTTCCCCTTTGAGCTTTCAAGGGGACTGCGGTTCGTCAATTCCTTAAAGATATTAAACTTCCTACTCGTTTTGTTTAAGAAGATATTTTAAAAAATAGAGCTTTCTACCAAGAAATACTACGATCTGTTCTTATATTTGAGATAACTATCTATTAAAACAATCTTTAGATTTCAAGCTCCGTGGAATTAAATTCTATGCTATTTTTCTTTACTTGTCTGCTGCAAACTTGATCGAATCGTTTACCCATCAATTGTGAGAATTAGCCGTGCCTTATTCTAGGTAAACTGCTTTATTCAAGTTATTTAATAGAAAAATGAATTTATGAACACTTTTATTGTAATTAATATCAGGGTAGAATCAAACATTATAAGATGCTAACATTAGCTATGAAAGTTTGCAAATACGTCGCTGGATACGAGGGGATCCAGCGCCTGAGGCTGAAGGTAGTCCCTCCCCCACAGTGGGAGCTACTTCGGCAGCTGACGCAGGCGAGGTCGCGGACGAAAACGCAAGCGTGACCGTGTCCTTGCCATGATGCGTAGGAGGAACAGAGGGGTTTAGTGGGTATGCTTCCCATCCGGAAGAGAATCCCACATAATTACCGCATGCCCCCCCCGGGCGCGGAGTACATGAAACATTCCCCTATAAAAAAAAGGTTTCTAAATACGTGATTGTAATACCACCAAAGAGGTCGACCATTAATATAATAATGTACACAGCTACATTTTTCTAATGCCACTGTTCTTAAGCACTTTCATTGCCTAATAAATGGATTTTTTCCATTAATAAAAGTGTTCTGAAAGGATAAAGTATAAGTAATGAGTCCAAAATGTTAAATATTAATATTAGAGTAGGTATACAGAGTTTAATTTGCTACGAAGTTAAGTTTAACGTACATAGCTAGCAGTCTTTATTTATTGCCATTTTACTTTTACTACGACATAACTTTACAAAACTTTTTAAACTTGTATTCTTATAAAGGCAATGTTTTTCTTACTATAAGCTTTAAAGTCCAATAAAATTGGTTTGTTACCTAAATTAAAACAATACTAGCAGTCGCCCTCGACTCTGTCCGCTCAGAATTAAAAAAAAAACTTTATTAGTAGCTTATGCAAATTTCAGTGAGATCCCTTTAGCTGTTCTGGAGATACTTTCACATCCATACATCCATCTAAACTTTTGTATTTACAATATTAGTAAGAATAAAATGCAAACTTAATCAGTCTATATTAAAAAGTAAAATTTTTATTTAAAAAAAATTACGTATGATTAAACCTATTAAATAATTTAAACTTGTAATTATATATACAGCTATTATTCCAACTCAGAGACATTAAAATTAATCACGCTGAGATTTATTTTCTATTTCAACTATCTTTAAAGTAGTATATCTACGAAAAAAGAAATCACAAACTTAAATTTTAATTTCCTGCGACTTTGTAAGCCGAGAAAACGATTCTCGGTGTCTTTGAACGAAAGCTGTAGAAATAACTTGGTGTATTTTAACATCTACTTAACTATTTATTAAAAATGAAGCAATAATACTTATCCCGCGATTACGCTGAAGTGACAATGATAAGAACATTTTCAATTTAAAAAATCAAAAGTTTAAGTATTGTTGTTATTTAATTATTGATTAAAAAGATTACAAATAAGAAGGTTTTTCTAAATTTTTATCCAACCTCAGGAATCTATTTCATACTTTTTATGCTATTTCTATTATTAAGATGAAAACGTAATAACTACGCATCGTAGGAAAACAAGAATACCTTATTTAATATAAGGGTTTAAAACATTTTATATTGTATGTGACGACGAAATTCAAATATTTTGTTTGACGTTAATTTCCTATGATAGAACATGAGAAAGTGCTCTCCTGACAAGGGTGGGTACACTTTAATATAGGGGATCAGATAATTACATTATTTGTTAAATTTTACTTTATACTGTGTCAAATTAAAAATATACATATGTACTCGTATATAAGCACTCAAGCTCGTTAACGTAAGTAATGAAACTTGTTAAGAATCGTTTTAGGTACAACTATATATTAATGTTGTGAGTTACATAATTGTTTATAACCCAAGACACGATGCTTTACATTTACCTTTTTTACAAATAACTGCCTTTAAATACAGCATTTATTTATCTATAAAAATAAAAAGATACAACAAAATCTTTGCATTTTTTAAGCTATAGCCATAATATTATTTTTATACATTATGTATATTACGAGTAAGATGAGTTATTTCTACAATTTTTTATAAATTTGCTGGAAGCTTAACATCAATTCAATATATTTAATACAAATGTATTAGCCAGGATCAGCGGTTTCGCTGAGAATTTTGGCTAATGTGTGAGGGAGAAAGGGCCGGAGGGTAAACGGGTGGCTGAAACGAACCTTTCGGCTATCACGGTATCCATAGATATCTCTATTACTTTATAATATAATCACATACGTAATTACAGAGAAAAAAACATAAGTTAGATTAATACTGTAACGTGTATAATTTTTTTAAAGATTACTTTATATAAAAGGTTGCAAAAATCCTTTGGACTAATATAAATTTTGCGTTATTGTTGCGGGTGAAATAATCCAGTGAGCGGGAGTGAGGCAGTGGCGGGGGTGGGCCGCCCCCCTCCCCGCGCCCCATGCCCCCGCACCGCCTCGCCACCAGTCGCTAAGTCTCAGGTTTGCGCGCAACATCCCGACACTTAATCGTTCACGTTTCTCATAGTTATCGCTAAATTCACTTTGATTATGATGTTCCTAGCATGGAATTGAAATTATAAATATATATTGGATACGTACGGGTGTGGTTAGAGAAGATGGTCCGAAAAAATACATTACTTTTTGTTATCGCCGGCTCCTTATTGTTTTCCGTCGGGGTGTCGGCACAGCCTTTTTCCGCAGAGAAGATTGTAGTCGGTAAGTCACTTTACTTACTTTGGTACTGTCACTTATTTAACTCGTATCAATAAATAAATTGAAGCTCTATTTTCTGGTTTTAAATGCGTAGTATTATTCGTCCTTACATTAGTGAATTAGATTTTAAAGTAATTAAGTTTATGTTTTTTTTATTAATTTCAATAACTTTACTATAATTGTAGAAATTTGTCGTAAATAATATCGTTTGTATGTTTTGTTGCGCACTCCCTTTAACTGGTTAACCTCTCGCTCAGTCAGAATGTGCTATATCGATTTTCTCTTTCTACCCCAATGCGTTTGTCTCTGTTACTCCCTCCTGCTACGAGATTAGCTACAACGCTACGCGGGCATTAATGCGTGCTACAAAAAGTAGGGGGTTACAATGTGTAACTAATTTTAATGGATTATGAACAACGATTAAGTCGCTTCATTAGAACGATGAAGTATAGTACCTATAATTTATTTAAAAAATATTTTACTTCATAACAAAAAATCGGTTCTGATTTAAGTAAAATCTAGAATACTGATTTTATTAATATAATTACAGTTAAAGGATTGGATAGTGTGATTTGGGTATTGAAATTTTATATCCATCGAATTAGGGCTCTTCCTGGACATGTGTACATCCATAGGTGGTTAGATAACTTATATCTTTATGATAAGTGAAGTCGGGAGGACTTCGTACTGGCATTCAAATCTTACTAAAATTTTTAATGCGAAAGTAGGTACCTACTGAACGCCTTAACGGATCTTGGTGAAAGGCATATATGTAGAACATAGTATAGGATAATACATAAGCTACTTATTATTATATACTTAGTATTCGGCTAAGAAGTTTATCGTGGACATACATCGCGTTTTTTATGTTTATGATAATGAGATGAATCTTAATACAAAAGATATTGTTTTCAAAATGTGTAAATATTCATAAATAATCTTTATTAGCTTTATTTAATATTTGCTGGAAATTTAAATGAAAAGTAATGATATTTTAACTGTCAAAGATTAACTCTGAATTATTCGGAAACTTCGGAAGTCACAATCCGATCATCGGCTTTGTCTCGAATGGTATATTTTGTTTCAAAATGTGCTCTTCAATATTATAATATTAAAATTATAATAATGACAAGTATACATTTAACTTAATATGCTAATAATGAAATAAATTAAGGTAACAAATATTATTTTATAATTGAATATAAAACTAACAACTCATAAAACTATCCTCAGCACTGATAGAGTATAAAACTCAGCATAATAAATTAAACTTAAAGTTACATAGTTTCATAATTATTTCATTTCTACCCACTTCTGTTCTACCATTTTAGGAGTATACAGGTTTTATCTCATATTTTGAATTAAAAAAAAATAATGGCTCTCTTTTTGATATTTTCATAAAGAATTATTTGCCGAATCAATCCTACCAATATTATCAATGCAAATTTTTAGATGGATGGATGGATGGATGGATGTTTGTATGAATATGGAACGTAGTCTAGAAGACCACATAGGATACTAATTATATTTTTTATGTTCCGCGCAGTGTGGTGGGCGACAGCTACACTTTTATAAAATAATATTTAAACACGTGATTTACTTCTACTTTTTTCGAATACTTTCATGTAAGCTTTACTAAGTAGTTAAGCATATTTGAACTTTGAAGTAATATAAAACGAACATACCTCTCCACTGCATCTATATTTTTCTATATTGTTAAGATACGTTCATCTAATACGTATTTCCACAATCAAGATACTTCGTAATTAAGGCTTTGCGTTCGAAGTGCCATCCCTAATTAAAGACGAGTGAGAGAAAAAGGAAAGTATTCTCTGAGGCATTCGCCAACTGGACTTAATCTTGTGGTATTAGTGGTTATTTGTACGTACCAACATGTGCTACTGGAAATTAAATGAACTACAAACGTATTTAATGATGATTCAATTATAAATACACGTGAAATATTAATCATTTTAAATATTTTAATGAAAAAAATCCTCATATTATATCTATAATTTTCCTGTTATACTTCTACGAAGCGGCTTGATCGAGTTTTATGAAATTTAATATGCATATTCAGCAGGTTTGAGAATCTGGTAATATCTATTGTTTAAACCCGTGCAGACGGAGTCGCGGGCGACAGCTAGTACGTATAAATAAAGGGTTACCGCAAAGGATTAGAACAAGTTGCCAGCCTCTGTTTTTCCGTCTAAATATGATATTGGGACCTTCAAAAGTAGAGTGAATAGGCACTTACTAAGCTAGCGCCTACCATCTTTCGACCAAATCTCCATTTCACCAGGTGGGATCTTGGTCAAACGCTAGCTTATAAAATGTAAAAAACAAAGTTAAATACCTATTTTAGGAAATAAAAATAATTTAAAAAAACAAAACCCTTAAATAAAAGGTCCATTATACAGTTTGATGCTTTGTCGAAAAACGAAAAACTTTGAACAAGTTAGATATTACTTTGAATATAAACTATATTTGAAATGAAACTAGTAAAAACAATGATGTTCAAAGCTTCGCATACGTAAAAAAATTGAATACAATTTTAACAAAAAATATTTGATGCGAAAAAATTTCGTAACACTTTTTAACGATATACCTAAAATTTCAAGCTTGATACTGCTAACAATTGAAGTTATTTTTTTTTGTTGTTACATAGAAACTGTATTGCTAGCGATACTTTTAAATAGTAAAGGCGAATACACTTAATTTCATACATTAAAAAAAAGAATTAAGATTTTGTAACATTTCAACAAAAAAAAATGAATACAACCATATAATACAAATAATTGAATACCTTTATCGAAAAATATTTTTTTCCTTCAGTGTAACAATTGAAAATTGATAAAAATAATTTATTATAGTATTTTATTACTAGATGGCGCTGTCCTCAATTAATTAAATTTATATGTTTATCGGAAATGTCCATTTTTACAATTCAAATAAATAATCATCCGGATAATCGTGTGCAGAAATATTATGTAAAGTTTCAATTTAATCTGACACAATGATTTGGCAAAAAAACATAGCCTTTGAAAGAAAAAGTTACATTTATGTTTGAAGCTAATACAAGCAAGTTAATAACCTTTAAGACAAATGATGAACATGAAGTGACACAGCAATGTATCAGAAGCTTAGAAAGAGCGTTTTCTCAACGTCTTTCGCATTGCGCTTTGCCAAGTGATTAGGAGGCAGAGGCCATTTAGCTCACTTTCGAGTAGCTTGGCCTTATTTTTCGTGGTACGTGAGCAACTTATGTGTAATTTTCAACTGTTATATATTATTTTAACATTTTATTTACTATTTCAAATCATCTTATGTTTTTACTAGGTGTTCTGTCCTTCGGGTTTTTTTTACTGCACTTCTTTGTCTTACGGTTTAAAAAAAATACAATATAATAATAATATTAATTATTTTTTAAATAGCAATATCTAATTGATTTCAATATAGATGAATTATGAATATGTGGCATGTACAGTATCATGCGAACAATGTAATGTACCAAATTTTCCAAGCATATTGAGTCTCAAAACAACAGCCAGAAAAGTTTTAACAATATTTGAATAAAGTTCGTTACATTACCAGCTTCGAAAGTTATCTTACCAGTTACCCTCTTATACCGACCTATATTGCTGAAATCGTAACGATCTACTTTTACTAATCCACGGAATCTTAAACTAGCAACACAATATTAAGAACCAATAGCCATATAATTAAGATTATAGATCTCTGATTACTTGGTTGAGGCTGTTCACTCATTTAATTTAGGGTTACTAATAAGAAATCCATTTAGGCAATCTTCTCTAAAAATTTGATGAAATTTGGTAGTCCGAGAATTTTGGTAGTATTTCCCTCTATTCATCATACGAGTAAGTACAGATAAAATCGACAGACAACATCGTTACTTGTATTCATCAGTAAGATATTTAGTTGAGAAATTAACATTTTACAATTTAATTTATTTCATTATAAAACAAAGGTGAATTTTAAAATATTAAATTGCTTCAGCAATCTATTAGTATATACAAGTGAGTTTGTCGAGTAATAATGGATTTGGCGTTTTAATTCTAAACTTATTTGTATAACATGAGATGTAATTAGGTAATGATTTCGCATGTGAATATTTGGCTAGTGGCCAGTTTCGATTACAAGAGTTAAGGGCAAGTAGCGGTTACAAAAATGTGTATTCTGTTATCATTATAAGATTATGACAAAAATAAATTACAAATCGAATTTTTCCAAAATATATTTTTTTAAAACTTTCACAACAAACATATAATTAAAATCAAAGTTATATAAAATTAAAATGTACTTTATATGCAGTCGGGAAAAATAATCTGCGTAAGTTTATAAAACGTTGCATTTCTAATACCTACGCGTACTCAGAAGTTTCTCTGATTGATTACTCCCTTCATAGGGCTTCAGAAACCTTGCAATATTTCCTTATGATGGTTAAAAGGAGAAATAGTATGTATGACGATTCGTCTTTTTCCGTAAATTATCAACTAGTATTCAAACATACCGTAGTTAAAAGTACTGTGACTTTTAAATTGCAAAGATAATGCGCAAATAAACTTTTGGCCACTGCAGTAATATTGCAAGTTGCGATTATATCGCCTCATAGAATTCACTAGTACAGGACGACCGAGGTTTAAAACACTTTTGTAGCGCTGGGAAAGTTTCTTTTAATCTTTTTTTAATGAAGTTCCTGGTCTCGCACAGTCAGGTAAGATACTTCGTAGTACAAACAAATCCGCTTTATAATAAAATACATTATAAAGAATAAAATTATGAAGACCAGCATTCAAAAGAAGCAATACTTTAGCGCTTAAGAACTTTTACACGAAACTTAAAATTAATTTTACATGCTATATTTTTTATATAAAATAACAGAAGATAATTAAAATTAACCAGAATTTCGATAATGAAAAGCATATGATTATAAAATAGTGGACAAAGAAAAAGTCGCAAGAAAATTTACCTGCTATAGAAACAGCGTTCGAAATTTGAACTTGAATTAAAAACAAGTTTAGCAAATTTTGTAATACCTACCTAGAGTAAAAGAAGGCCTAAATAAAAGCTTATAAAGCATTGAACAATAGTAGGAGTATTAGTAGTTACTCAAGCGACACAGAATTGCTTTCGGAGAATAATGTTCGTACACAGTTAAAGTGAAAAAAGACACGATAGTTTTCAAGTGAAGCAAAATGAACTAGAGGATTCGTTCACATTTAAGGAGCAAGCGAATGGTTGCTTCAGTGATTCCGATAAACGTTACGGTCAGCGGCTATATTTCAAGACTATGACATCTCCGAGAATGAGGTCGTCCTATACTTGCTTTTTATTTAATGATAAAGAGCTTCTCTATTATACTCCATTGGTTTTAAGTCTTTTAAATGTTTTCTGAAAATTATTAGTAGAATTTACACTTCAGAAAACAATAATAGTCTTGTGTTACCCGATGTTTTTAACCATATAATTGTTTATTCGATTTTTTAGGTAGAAAATCAAGTACTAGACATTTGAATAATTTTAACTTATAAATATTTTCAGTTATCTTTCAAATAATGTTAGATTATGAGGAGTAAAGACTGGTTTCTTTTCAGGTGCAATCTTCGATCAAAACACAGAAGAGATACAGAATGTGTTCAAATATGCGTTGACGGTGCACAACCAGAACATAAGTAGCAAAAGATTGGAACTGCAGGCGTACGTCGACGTCATTAATACAGCTGATGCATTCAAGCTATCCCGACTTAGTAAGTATTGGACTTCATTTAGCACATATAAACAGGTCAACTGGAATTCTTTCACTTCTCAATGATACGCCATTTTTGCTTCAACGAATATCGCCAGTTAAAGTTGTGAAGCCAGTTCCGACGACTTTAACATAATTTTCCAAATAAAATATTAGTAAGGAGTAAGCATTTATAAATAAAATATAAAATTTAAAATTTTACCTTCAAAGGTTTAAATTTTTACTCAATATTTTTACACAGAAAATGAAATGTATTTATTTTAATTATATGTATTAGTAGGAATAAACTATTTTAGCTAGAAGAAGCCGATTATTTATTAAAATACGTAAAACTAGCAGCGAGCGTATCACCATCTCAAAGACCGGCAAAGTTCTGTGGTTCCTCTGGTATTGCTGATGTCCATAGGCCTCGTTGAACACCTCGGTGTTCCCCATGCTGGCTTGCCCCCTTCTGTTATAAAAAAAAACTAAAATATTAAGTAAAAAGATATATCCAATTCTACCTTTTTAGCACTTACGTTCTTATTTACCTATCCCTTGCGGCTCGTGGGACTAAAATTGTAGACATTGACGAAGGGCAAAGAGCTGCGAAATAAGGTTATTCATAAAGTTTGTTAATTTTTTTTTCTCAGAACATAAAGACAAATCCCTCTGTGACATTTTTCTTCAAAAACCGACATCAAACTTATCGCTACAGTAGAACGACATCGCAGGGGTCATTGCGTTCGCCTCGCGACGAGATACCGCCTCGTTTAGTTGTAAAAAAAACATGAACAATAGATAGAAGTGGAAACATATTTCGTGTAAAAAAAGGGAATAATACGAAAATACTGACACGGAAATTAAAAGGAGAAACAAAAGCAAATTGGCCGTGAAAGAGGATGAGCGCAGACCGCGGTCGGCTTGCTTATTTGCTCTAATGACGAGTATTTTCCTGATAGCTGTGTCGTCTGCTTTACTCAGAACTGGGTTAGGTACATTTAATGTCATTTGTTTTATAAATTATCACTCATAATGGTGTTTTGTGAAATATCACTTTTCTACATGCCACGAAAACATTATATAAATGTCAAATAGAAAAAAATCTATATTTATGTAGTCCAAAATTTACATTAAATATAAAGTACAAGTATTCATTTTACTATAATAATATATCTAGTGGATGATGGCATAGTATTAATTAATAAAATACTGTGCCTCTTATTAAAGCAACAATGTTCGCGTATTGATTTAGCTTGTCTGGAATTTCATTTGTACGAGTACAAAGTCATTGTAATGAATTGATTATTAATATGGAATCTAAAGCGGCGACTAAAATTGTTTCAAGCCGTTCACAATTTAATTTATGCAAATTTATAAAGGACTCATTTGAAATACGCTTTATTCTAAGCTATTGTAGATTGAGATCTACTGTTGAATTTCCATTGCACGTCCATGATTAGGCCGTACGTCGCTTCCAGTAATAAATTATACAGTATCTATGTACATATATAGATATAAATAACATCTATGTAACTAGATACTTAGCCATTTCGTATCTATGTAAATTAAGCTTTGATGTATGAATGTCTGATAAATAGACAATTGTATTTGTTGAATTTGCGATAAATTTCAATAGAAATTAATACTGCATAAAACATGGAATAAAAGTAATAAATAGAATTTTATTTATGTTAAGAATTTACAAAATATATAATTATTCAACAATTTCATTGAAATTCATTTCTGTCTAATAAAGGAGTTGCTAAGAAAATGATGGTTCACTTAAAAGTTTAAGCGTTGAAAATGATTCTTAACTAAAATTTCTCATTCATTTTATCTCGGATATTATTTCATCTTCACTGATAGACATCCGCTCTGGGGACCTCCGTCCATTGTAATTGCACCCTAACGCAATTACCTTAAAAGCCTGTCATTGGGGCTAAATTTAATATACTTTAAAGTAAAAGAATTTTCTCATTCAACATACCTATTTACGTTTTTAAAGTAGGAAATTTGTCCTTAGTCTTTATTTGTTAACACAAAGATACACTGCCATTCAGATAATGGATGGTGATGACGTCAGATGAATATTACGTTACATTTTCAACTTAAATGAGCGTTAAAATTTCAAGTAACTCTCAAAATGCCGTTTTTAATTTAATTGAAAAAAAAAATCCCCTTACAAACCTTTCCTTAATAGCAAGCATGGAATGTATAGGTAAAAGGAAATGTCTTCTTTCTTCTGCTTTGCCAATTAGTGGTATGTGCCAAGCACGTCAGTAGCTGAGAGGTTAAGTACTTGACTTGTAATCTGTAGGTCATAGGTTAGAATTCCGCCATGTACCCAATACGTTTTTCGATTTACATTTATACATTTATCCGATGTCCTTACGGTACTTCAACTTATATCATATGTATATGGATATCAATTCGTTCCTTTAGCGAAACCATATACTCGCTTGAAATATGAAACCGAAAAACATCGAAAATATTTAAAACTATCAATGCGAATGTTAAAAGTTCGAGAAAATTGTCCAATATTAATATTATTGAAACGGTAAATTAAGAAGTAAGTACCTCAATAATTAAAATGTAGGAACGATTGGATTCTCAACGCGGAACTGGGTGACGGTAACAATACAACAACGAGGTTTGCATTTCACGAAACCGTGCTGAATAATAAGTTTTCGGCTATTGTTCATTAATGACAAATTTACCTTTAGTACATTTAGTTAAACTATCGTCAATTAGTCGAAATTCAACCATAATTCATAATCGAAGAGTTTTTGATAAAGAAAAGTTAAATAGCCTTATGACCTTTGGTGCACATAAGTTTTATGTTCACTTGTTCACGCAATTTCCTTACAAATAGGTACCAAGTTTATAATTCACATATTAACATTCTAAACTTAGTTATATTTAATTATTTTTTTATTAAATATTTTCTAAATTGGTAATATCATATAGCAAAAAATTTGTCTTTGATAATTTTTTATATAGAAATCAACGGATACATCAGTTTCAAATACAAATTCGAACACTGGCAGTTACTTTTAATATTCGAATTAAAATGATTAGCGTCCTTTTCTCTTCATGACATTATCTATATCAACCTGGTATTTTATAATGTAAACCTGGTACTTTTTGTTTTTGTGGTTTTGAGGAGCTTAATGAACCCTATGAAGCTCTAGTGCAAATAGGATTTGAAATCATGGTTGCGCAAAAGTTATAGAAATTCTGGATCATATTTAACTAAAATGTGACATTTAACGTATTCTCTTACATCTCATTATACGTTAAAGTTGTGGTTAATTAGGTAAAAGTGTTCAGTCATCCCGTCCGTAGTAACTACCAGTAATTCTCGGAGCGTCGGCGGCTCAAGGGTTAAGCACTTAAATTTTAAACTACAGTTCTGGATTCCAATAACAAAGCGTTTTTAGATTTATTATTTATATATCTAACGTCCTTACGGTGATGTGACGCCGTGATACAATCTGTACATATCTGTGAAATAATTAAATTATATATGTGACGTCAACCAATTCGCACAATGCCAGAGTGGATGAATATAGCCACGTTAATTTTGACTGGACTCCGAGCCCCACAGTGGGGACATGTAATGAGCTGGTAATAATGGTCATTATTATTCAATGATGTTAAGTCGAAGAAGACTAACATTAGTACTTCACCACATCTCTCATCAAACGAAACATAACCATTGTCTACTTAGCCATTGTCAATGTTGCTGTGGATTTCATTGTACAAGGTGACCTATTCGTACAACTATATTGGCACTACTAATGTAAAGGTAATAATTCTTTATTACGAGGTGTTTTTATAATCGTATTCTTTGCAGTTTGCAACCAATTCGCACGTGGAGTGTTTGCGATGCTCGGCGCAGTGACTCCGGAATCTTTCGACACGTTGCATTCGTATACCAATACGTTCCAAATGCCATTCGTCACGCCATGGTTTCCTGAAAAGGTAAAGTATTTTTCCTTAGATTTTATGATAAAAAACAACCCCGGCCTATTAGTGAACTATGTTCTATCTATTAGTGAACTAATGTACTGAAATAGAAGATATTAGTAATACGGTATAATTATAGTCATTTTATCCAATAAAAACCTTAAACTTCTTACAGATATATTCCAAATTAAATTTTATTAAAATTAAAAACTTTACTGAAATATTGCGTTGAACAAAATCTTTTGTATTATTATACAAAATACATTATTGTAGACATAATTAATAAAATATCCACGAGCTTTATATGTGGCATATGAGTGGACTGTTAAGTAAGCATTTTACCGAGTGCGTAACTTAGCAAATAGAGTCATACAAGTATTATTAAAGGACGGAGAAATGGCATTTTTCCTCACGTTCACTAAAGCAGAATGTCGGCATCAAGCGTTAGCTTTGATGAATATAAATGTTCTGACTGTGGAAAAAGTCGATTTCTCTAAGTGTCTACCGGATTCTGCTGACAGTAATTCTTTTGATTCAATTTCGATGCTTAACTTGCGGGAACGATTTGTAAAAATTAAGCTTTCATATGTAGTTTGCTCACCCGGTGACAATTTATATTAATAAAAATATAAGAGAAGTCACAAATTGTAAAAAAAATAATGTAAACATTTTTTTTAAATTATGTATCTACTCTGAATACTACGAATATTATACTCAAAAAAATCCTGTATCCTTTATTAATTATGTAGTAATTTTTTTATCGTAAAAGATTAAATAAAAGAAATTACTTTTGAAGAATTTTCAGTTTCATTACATTCATGTCCATCGTTGCCATGTCACTGGCATGTTGCGTTGCGTTCCTCCTAATTTATAGCTTTTATTCGAATTTCGAATAATATTTTTTTTTGATAACAGATAAACTATTTCGTAACGACATTTCTAAATAAAAATCAAAATTAAATGAGCATTGCCGGGATTATGCAATATGCTTTTATTTGTGTATATCATAGCCGCTTTCAGTATGTCTGAACAAACTTAATTAATGAATAACATAACAATAGCGTTAAATAAACAATTAAAGTACATTTATTCTCTTATTAGGTAATACCACCATCATCCGGGTTAATTGATCATGCGGTTAGCATGCGACCTGATTATCACAAAGCTGTAGTCGACACTATTTTGTACTACGGCTGGAAGGAAATCATTTACATGTACGACTCACATGACGGTAAGTACCAAGATATTATTTTTTTTCCTTTCAATCTGTGTTTTATATATTACTAATGTTATAATATAAACGCGAAAATTTAGATGGATGGATAAATGGATGGATCAACGAATCTCGCTGAAATTTGGCATAGATGTAGAACATAATCTGGAAGGATATATAGGCATATTAAAACCTTCTTTTAATTGCGCGCTACCGCAGTCGCGAGCGTCAGCTGGTTTGCTTAAGGATTTGGGATATTCTAAATTAATTCTTACGAAAACATAACATTTGAATTTACTGAATCGAATATTGATTTTAATTAAGAATCCGTAAATAACAACCATTATTATTTTTAAAATTTAATGCCAGAGAAAAATAGTATTTATTTAGTCTTAATAAAGCTATTATTTTATAACTAGTAAGTATTTTATACGAGATTAAAAGCTTAGTATTATTGAATTTTGGAGTAATTTCCGTATGTTTGTTTATAAACTAAGCTAATTAATATCTATACTATCAATGCCGTATCGTGACTGTTATGTTTTGACGTTGCTTTATAACGCACGTCTAATATTATAACATAATTAATTTGCCTAATTGATAATCAAGTGATTGAGTGTTGACGGTTTCACAAGCAGGGAAATTATAGTCGTAGAAAATTTTGTTTACTTAATCTAAAAACGTGTACATTAATGATAGAATAGTTTTCTGATTAGTTTAAAAAAAAATCTTTCAAATCTCATTTTTTTATTTAATATAATATGATTGGATAATCATCAACTTGCTCTTATGCCTATTGACAGTCGGCACAATATGTACTACTCCTTATATCTCTATCAGCCGTCACACCTGAATCTACCCCCTTCCTACGCATATCCTCTATCACACAGTCATTCCATACTTTTTTAGTCTTCCTCTACCTTTGTCGCCATCCACATTCAATCTCATTACTTTTTTGTTTATATCATCATCATCCCTCCGCATATGTCCAAACCACGGTAACTTAAGTATGAACGGATGTTAAAAAAATATTTACAATTTTTGCCTTTGTGAGAAGGCAAATAATTTTTATATTAGTTTCTAATGAAAATATGAATGCTTCTTAAAAATATGTTAAGTTCGTAGCGTTGCGACTGAAGACAATATCGGTGTAATATGATCAGTTTAAATGTTCAGGACTGGTCTGTAACGTATGTATCATTACCTTTATTAACTTTTTAATATCAGTGAATATTAAGATAAGGGTCAGGGTACGTAGTGATCGTTGCACGGATGTCGGCTTCGTAACATTCTCTTTATCGTTTCGCTTTACAACAGAAATGGCGGTTTTATAAATCGTAAATTGTACCGTTCGCTTGGGATTACAGCGCGGCCGACTTGTCCGATAATAAAATGTCGACACGAAAGAGATTGCGGCTGCCTGGCTTCTGCTAATATTCTGCTATAATTCTGCTGTGACCACCACCCCCCCTTTAATAGGGTGCCTCAATTGAATACTCGCAACTTTGTTTAATTTGGCCGAATACTTTATGATAACGCCTTGATGTAAGATAGAATTGTTTACCTTTATTGACACTGTCACAGCGTCTATCTTCGTAAACTTTACTCGACATTTGGACACCTTTTAGAAGTATTTCAATGCTTAGGCATAGGAATTTTTATATTTATTCTAAACTAGCTGTCGCCGGCGACTGGATATATAAAAAAATAATAAGTGTAACCCACCCATTTATCCATCCACATCACATCCATCTGAACATTCGCATTTATAATATTAGTAAGTTAAATAAAAAGCAGCTCTTCAAGGCGTAATTTCGAAAAAAAATGGATAATCCTATGTCCGTCTCCTGGCTCTAAGCTCCTCACCAATTTTCAGCCATACCGGTAAAGCCGTTCTTGAGTTATAAATAGTGTAACTAACACGACTTTCTTTTATATATATAGATGTACAAATTGTGTCAAAAGTACAAATAGTTTTTATGACTTTTATACTTTTAGTCTGATACAATTTCTGTTAAGATTTCAGTGAAATATATAAACAAATTAATTTTCAGATTATCGTAACAGTAAACTTCAAATACGGAATACTAATATGTATAACATAGTTGTTCGACCTACTTGGATATTTCACCTTTACTCCAAACTCCCAGGGATTTTGTTGGAGGCATAAATAATGTTTAGGTATAGTAAAGGGGTAGAACATCTCATTCGGGACTACGTTGCTTAGCTATTGCTTCGAGTTATGAAACTTCCTTGGATTTATAGTCAACGCCAACCCATGTACTTGTTGCTTAACTCGACCGACTTTTGTTCAGTATATAAATATAATAACGGTAAAATATTTTACACATTATATTAAACTGTTTTTTTTATTTCTTTTTTCAAATCACAAAAGGTTTTTTGTTTCTGTGGTAAGAGTATACATGTATAAAAAACATTTTCGATCTTCATTTGTGTTAACATAAAGTCGGTATTGCAACTTTGGTACGATGTTCCACGCGTGGTTTGGTAGCCCAACTAATCTACATTTAAGAATATTACTAGTACAACTGCTATTTCCAAATGTCAGTCTAATAACTGGCAATGGACTTCAGTCAACCTCAAGTTAGACTTAATGTCAGGAAATGACTGACCTCGTTCAATATCTGTCCGTTCCGATTTACACGTGAGAGGCTTACATTTATGTACGTATCGAGCCAACTCTCTCCAATGAAGTTGTCTGGGCATTGAATGCATTAATAGATAACTGAGTATTTTACTCACATCAACAATGCAGTTTGACTTCCTTAATACCGGGCAAATGGGGTGATAAATAAATCTTCATTGAATTAAATTCGATACTTCCTAAACTCTACATCCTACGCAATAAGTTTTATTCGATTATTGACCGCAACAAGATCCGGATAATAACCTAAAATAGGAAGTGTAACATTGGCTAAAAAAATGTCTGAAAATCGATTTAAGAGGTGTACTACATGCGTAGGATCCATCGAAATTATAATATATAAAATGTGTAAATATTCACATTTAAGACTTTTGATATAGAATTATAGTACGATAAATAATATGAATGTAATTAAATAGTGAAAAAAGAGAGAGGAAGTGTCGTACTGTCAACAACCAAACTTTTATTGAGCGGCTTAACACTTCGGCTTTAGCGATGTGTCGGCGAGACGTGTCTGTGTGTCTTTTAAAAGCACTACAAAATACAAATATTTCGTAGTGCTTATAAAACAATAGTTTAAAAAAACTTATTAACTACCACTATCTATATTATTTTTTTTATAAGAGAAGGATTCAAACGATCGACGGGATTTTTAATCATTACCCTTTACGTAAGTGATAAAAAATTTAGTGCTGCCGGAATTTACATTATATTCTGTAATTCCACAGTCATCACTATGTAATTAAAGAAACTTATGTATATGTAACAAATATTATACGTGCAAATGTTTAGACGGATGGATGGAATGTTTGAAGGTATGTCCAAAGCGATTGAAGGAATCTCTATGAAATTTGGCATATACATAGAACATAGTCTGGAAAAACAGACGCTATTAATTAAGTTTTTTTATTCAACGCGGACTCAATCGCGAACTAGTGCCCATATTAAACTGTAACAATCATCATCTTAATCAGTCGAAAATAATATTGCAATGTACGTAAGATACAAATAATGTATGAGATAGCTGGTTCAAAGTTAATTAACTGTGTCGATACAATGCTATCTCAATGCAGCCAAATGTACCCATGATTGTGACGCATAATCAATCAGATATTGCAACGTATGACAGATTGCTTTGACTTCGTTTCGAATATCTAAGTACGATGTATGTTTATATATTTGTATCACCAGTATAACATCAATTAATAAACAAAAGATAGTCGTGTTATGAAAAATGTACGGTTATGTTTTAAATGTGGGTATAGTGACGTAATAAGGAAAGATGTTAAGCTTACGTAAATTGGGATATATTTTTAAAGGCTTAAAAATAAATAATATCATACCTAAAATTTAAGTAGAGAGCGTGGGTGACTCAGGGGTCAAGCACTTGACTTGCAATCTGCAGGTCCTGGGTTCGAATCCCGTCATGTACCAATGTGTTTTACGATTTCCTATTTATATATGTACATTTATCTGACGTTCTTACAATGAAGGAAAACATCGTGATGCAACCTGCGCATATCTGAGAAGAAATTAAAAAAATTGTGCGAAGTCAACCAACCCGCACTAGGCCAGCGTGGTTGACTATGGCCTAATCACCCTTAACTTAGGGTAGCCTCCGAGCCCCTCGGTGGGGGCGTATAGTGAGCTGATGATGATGATTATACCTAAAATTAAATAAATGTAGTATAATTAGGTTAGTTAAATTTATGTCATTTATATCCCATAGTTAACCTAAATTATTTTATAAGAAAAATAGTTTTATTTATGTGTGTATTTAAGAAGTTATAATAATTTAAGATAGAAATGATGTATAAAATGATGGATGGATTTGGAACCCGTAAATCTGTGTCGACCAAAGATAGAATAGAGTCAAGACAGCTAATGATGATTAATACCTATTTTTTATCGATATAGAGTGTCGAGAATAAATAATATATAAAAATATCTATCACAATGCTAGTTACCATACTTCTTCGAAAGGGTTTCATCAATTTTTATGAAATTTTATGTTGATATTCATTAGGTCTGCGGCTGTTCGGCTACTATCTATTTTTAAGTCCCGCGCGGAGTCATGGGCGTCAGCTAGTCATATATAAAACTAAATATCGTTAGTGATAGTCTCACTAGATAAATCTATAGTTGTACTTTGAAATGCGAACCATGTAGACAATGTTTATAACATGACATTCATCTTGCATCCAAAGTATAATAGTATCAATTATTATAAACAATTATTTGGTATAAATACGTACAAAGTTATTGGTAATTCAATAACATTGTACAATAAACTCGTATAAACTAATTCTTCTTGCTCATTACACGTTAGTTACACAAACTTGGTCTCATTCAT